ATTTTTTTTGTTTTTTGGTGAGGCAGTTGGAGTTAAGTGACTTGCCCAGGGTCATACAGTTAGTAAGTGTTAAGTGTCTGAGGCAGGATTTGAACTTAGGTCCTCCTGACTCCAAGGCCAGAGCTCTATTCACTGCGCCACCTAGCTGCCCCTATCCTGGACTCTTTACCCACATATCCAATCAATTGTCAAATCTTGCTGTTTCTACCTTCACCATGTCTCTTGAATCTGACCCCTTCTCTCCATTCACACAATGACCACTCATCACCTCTTGTTTAGATCATTGCAATAGGGCTCCCTGCCTCGGGTCTGTCATCACCCTGGTCCATCCTGCACACTGCTACCAAAGTAGTTTTCCTTAAGCACAGATCAATCGTGTGACTTCTCTACTTAACTAATTCCAGCGGCTCACTATTGCCTTTAGGATAAGATATTAACTCTTCTGTTTAGCTTTTTTTTTTTTGGCAGTTGGGGTTAAGTGACTTGCCCAGGGTCACACAGCTAGTTAAGTGTCAAGTATTTGGTCTGAGGCTGGATTTGAACTCAGGTTCTCCTGACTTCAGGGTGGGCGCTCTATCTACTGCGCCACCTAGCTGCCCCTTGTCTAGCTTTTGAAGCTTTTGAAGCTTTTGAAGTACCATGAAAAGGCCTGGCTGCCCCTTCCACCTCATGCCTGGAAAGTGCTCCCTAAAGAGTGAGCATTCTTCCTTTAAGATGCAGCTCAGGCACCATGTTTTGCATAAAGGATTTCCTGATCTGCTCAACTGCTAGTGTCCTCCCTCTCAATCTACCTTGTATTTAACTACTTTGTGTGTGTGTGTGTGTGTGTGTGTGTGTGTAAATACACACATATATACAAATACATATGCATTTTATATACATGTATTTATATTTATTTCTCTACATGTACATATACATATATATTAACTTTATATTTTTGCTCCCTATATTTTTATATGTGCTTGTCTCCACTGTTAGAATGTAAGTTCATTGCAAGAAGGGTTTTTCTTTTTTTCATTCTTTCTACATCTACCCCCATTGCTTAGCTATGCCTGATACATAACAGGAGCTTAATACATGTTGATTCTGTGTAATTTTCACATCTTCAGTTTCTCTCACACTTAATTCCCAAATCATTATTTTCCAGAAATATTTTTGTTGCCATCTTCACCTATTTCAGCCTTTGCATTGAAGTCACCAAGTATTCCTGTATATCTGATTTAATTTGGAGCGTCTTTTCACATTCTTTATGGGGCAGCTGATAGAACACTGGGCTTAGAATCAGGAAGATCTGAGTGAAAATCTGGCCACACACACTTACTAGTTGTGTGACCATGAACAAGGTTGTATGGTTGTGGTTTGTCCTTTGTTCTTGAAGAGGAACATGACATCAGGAAGATGATGACATGACTTGCAAGTGAATTGGATTTAAGTGAGTGAGGGCTGTGCAAAGTCACAAGCTCACTCTCTCCTCCAGAGCCATCTGGGTTCAGTGACCAGATGTAGATCAGGACAACTGGAGATGGCCCAAGATGCAGTGGGAGACCTTGGCCTTTTTAAGTTAAGGTCTTTCCAAGTTCTCACTTTGATTGAGGCAATGCCCATTCAGTGATCAGGCCTGTTTAAGGAGTCAAGGAATGGCCCCTGTAATAGTAATAATAATAATAATAATAAAAAAATCAAACCGAGACGGGAAGAACCTCAGAGTTGCTGGTCAAAAGAGAAACAATTACTATTTGCATTAACTCTGAGCCATATTTGCCTTAGTTCCTCATCTGTAAAGTAGGGGCACACTGGAGAAGGAAATGGCAAACCATTCTAGTATCTTTGCCAAGAAAACCCCATGGACAAGTCCATGGTGTCATGAAGAATTGGACATGACTGAACAATGAAATGTTGCATTTTTTGGAAAATTTCTCTCTTTATCTTCTTCAATAGATAGATTGTAATTGTTGTCAGGTTAGTTTTGTGCAAACTTATAAGCACTGTAATACGAGGTAATGAAATATCCCATGAAATGATGTTTCTTATTGCCTTTGCATATTAGATAATATCAATTCCACCAATTTCTTTGTTTCTGGGTGTCATCTTTCTACTTAGCTGTGACTTCTGTCTTCTGTTTTCATTAAGAATAAGAATGTTAAGATTGATACAAGCCAGCGCTTCTAGTAGTGTGTCCTTTTCTTGGTCAATGTACAAGGATTTCACATTTACCGACAAGTAAGTTAGTTTGTGGTTGGTCTAAAGCCCGCACTTCTGCCTCACTTTCCACTGCTGCCATTACCACTGCAGAAGCAGAGGGGATCACGGAGGACTGAGGGCCATAGGTTGCCAGTGCCAAGTTTATCAGCAACAAGTGGTGATGAGATTACTAAGCCAGGACGGCCTTAGGAGAGCAGACTCAATCTGTTGCCAGGGACATACTGGAAATCTTTCTAAGATGGTAGAACTTGCCAAGAGTTTGATTTCCACTGGTGCAGCCATTGAGCAGCCATGGTAATCTTCATGACATACAGGTGTAGGACTTTCTGGAGGTATTACAGATATCACTTCTATTATAGAGACGGGGATATTGATGCTTAAGGAGATTAAATGGTTCTAGTCTCCACAGACTTCCTCTACTATGCCTTAGAAGTCTCTTTACCTTGGAATTTCACTCTATTCTTGGACTTCTTACAACAGAAGTATAGTTGAACCCTGTAGCCACTTCCTCTGATTGTCTTGTTCTTCCCAGAACCTCCATTTTGAGGAAATTGTCTAGGCCAGCCATGGCTTCATTCTTCTCTAGACTCCACTCCATTCCTTTAGATCTTACTCTCTGGACTTTCTCTACCATGACTGTGCTAATACCTTCCCCCCCCCCCCCATTTACCCACCCTTTCGATTTCCTTTTGTGCATCATCCATTCCTATTAGGAATAAAGCTGTTCCCCTTTATATCATCTCCGTGTGTTTTTGCTCATACAAACACACCCACAAACCCACACATACCATCCATCTGTCTATCCATCCATTTACAAATTGTGTCTGATATACATGTACCACAGACTTTCTCCTCACTGGGCTACTGTGTAAATGGACTGTGGATACAAGATGAAATGCTATAGTCTTTGCCCTCATGGAGCTTAGGGGAGATGTTATATGTATGAATAACCCTAATGTAAATTTGACTTCATCAAATTAAAGGGCAAGATCCCAAGAAAGTTTCTATTTTGCTCCAAAATTTCCTCAGCCCCCTTTTTCATAGGTATTGCATGTTCTAAAGATCTTAGACCAGCATTCATAAGTTCTTTCAATACATTTCAAATATTGGCATCTGTTGACCTGGAAATCTGGAACAGAGGGAAAGCAAAGAGCATCAAGGTCCCTGAACATGTGGAAACTGAAGTAGCTGAGGTAGGGAAAAGTTGCTGGATTGTGTAAGAGATCCAAGGACATCAGAATGGAGAACTTTTTGGGAATTATGTAGAAAACAAATGAATAGAAGCAAATTTTTCTTCCTTCTCCACTTGCAGTTTAGAAATCCATTCTGGTTGGTGTTGACAAGTCATAATGAGTCCTAGCTGACCTTTGTCTTTCTTTAAAAAAAAAAAAAGACAGACATCCTGATACTCTGCTTGAATGTTGACATTTTATCCTAACCCTCTTTGCTCTTTCTTCCTGCTCATGGGAGTTTCACTCTGAATAGTTAAGCATAAAGCTCTGGGAGTTTCGAAAAGAAAAATAAAAAGAAAAAAGACAGTGGGTATTGTGATTAGAGCATTGCGCATACCCAATTCCTGCTAGTAGGAAATGGGCAGTGATCTGTCTTGAATATGTTACATGCAAGGTAGTTTCTTTCTAGTCATGATAAGCTAGAACAACAGTGTCGCATGAGAAGCTAATGTATGGATTGGCTAACAGGTCTCATAATTGTCTCAGAGTAATCAGCCTTCCCAAAACTTGTTGCCAGTGTCTGAGTCATTCCCATGAGTAATTTGCCTTGCTTCCCCTTCTGTAACTTGGAAGCTGTGTGAGGAACTGAGAACAATCAGACTCTGACTCGGAAGTAGTGAGGGAAGGTACTGACTCCAGCCAGCATGAGTTTGTGTGTGTGTGTGTGTGTGTGTGTGTGTAGGACTGGAGATACAATGGGATAGAGGAGATGGTTTTGGAGTTGAAATAAAAGTAATGGGTATTTGTTGATACATTATACAGCATGTCCCAAAAGTCTTAGTGCATTTTAAGAGCTATTAAAGCTTAAAAATACACTAAGGCTTTAAGGACACCTTATATTATATTGAATGATGATTATAATCCTTTACATTACTATGCTTTTCTTTTCTTTTTTTTCTTTTTGGCTAGGCAATGGGGTTAAGTGACTTGGCCAGGGTCACACAGCTAGTAAGTGTTATGTGTCTGAGGCTGGATTTGAACTCAGGTCCTCCTGACTCTAAGGCTGGTGCTCCAGTTAGCTGCCCTAACTATGCTTTTCTTAATCTAACACTTATGTACAAGTGCATGAATGCATGTGTATGTGTGTTAGAGAGAGAGACAGATAAAGAGACAGAGAGATGAAGAGAGAGACAGAGACAGAGAGAGAGAAAGAGAAAAAGAGAGAGAGGAAATATGATGTGACACTTTGCTTTTAGTTATTATTTGAGGTTTAAATAATTTGTTAACAACAGTCATATCTAAGATATAGGAGTTTCTAGTGGGAGAAGTGGCTGAAATAATGTAGACCATATTGAATCTATTCTTGAGTAGGTTCAGGAATAATTGGAAAGGGAGAATTCCTATAAATCCCTGAAGAATCTATCAAATTTTTGAAAAAAAAAGTGAATTTTCCACTTTCTAAAATTTCATCAATAACCCAGAGGTACACATGCTGATAATGGGGAAGGAAAGGAGGGTGAGAAACAGAAACCTTAGGAAGTAGCAGTGCATGTACCCCTCCTTCTTTCCCCTCCTCTCAAAGACTGACAGAAAAAAGAGATGATAAACAGATTAAAAAAACCTTACCATTGTGTCCAGCTAAAGGAAATAAACAGAAAGAGACAGATCAGTAAGTTGATTTAGCACAAAGACAGAGAACATACTTTCCATTCTTTTCAAGTTACCACTTCTCAATGGTCCAAACTGTCCATTTTGCTCAATGTGAAATGGGGTGGGGGATTGAGCATCCTAGTAGACCTTAGTCCTATGGTTCAGGTCTATGAAGATCTGTTAATATGGTTGTGAGCATGTAAGAAAATTCCCTCTTCCCTGTTCTCTCAGCCTCTGTCCAAAAAAGATGCATACTCTCAGGAAACTGGAAGAATTTTACTTTTAAGAACTTTTAACACTTCTATTTTTATCCCTATTTTTATTTTTTATTCTGTCCTTCCTCTCCCTCTCTTCTTACCTTCTCCTGTTCTTCCTCCATCTAGATTGGTATTAACAAGCCCTCACAACCAGGGCCAGAAGACTTTTGTCCTTCTCTGAATTCTTTTCTATAACCAGTGAAGCTTCTACCTTCTGAAAATCCATCAATAAACCAAGGAGTACTGGGAGATGGGGAACATATGAATGTGGAGAAACATGAACTGCAGATATGGAGATATGGCAGTAAACGGAATCGGGCAGAGCAGGGCAAGCTCTCCCCAGACACTACAGATTATACTTGCCAGAATGGAAAAATGAGATAAGGGACTTACTAAGGTTCAGTTAAAAAAGAGCTAGACAGTTTAATGAGGCTTCTGTGGCTTCAGAAAAGTTTATTCTTCAGAAATACTTCTAGGGGCATTTTCATAAATGGATCTTAAAGGGGCAGCTAGGTGGCACAGTGGATAGAGCACCGGCCCTCAAGTCAGGAGGACCTGAATTCAAATCTGGCCTCAGACCAAACACTGGACACTTACTAGCTGTGTGACCCTGGGCAAGCCACTTAATCCCAATTGCCAAAAAAAAAAATGTTCATAAGATCATAGATTTAGAACTGGAAAGGACCATAGAATGAAGTACAACCCCTTTCGCTTTATAGAAGAGGAAACTGAGGGACAGAGAAGATGAATGACTCAACTTAAGGTGGGATTTACAGCCAGGACTTCCTGATTCCAACTCCACTGTCCCATCACTAGACCACACTACCCTTGTAGCTCAGGTTGTACTGTTAGCCTCAGTATCTGCAATGTGGACGGCTTGTTAGAACAAGGTTCTAACAAGCTTAATTAAGAATATCCTTATTAAGAATAAGGAGGGCATAGGCCTTTGGCTAAATTTCACATAGAAAACTTTTAGTAGCCCCTTGAAGTTTTTCTGAATTTGGGAACTCCCTGTATTTTCTTCTCAAACACTTCTGAGGTCTGGAAACTTCCATGGGATTGAAGAAATCTTATTGAATTTAAAATGCTGCCTACATTTGCCTTTCTAATCCTTTATCTCCCCATTCTCTGCTGTCTGACTCCTGGTCTCCTTTATTTTTCTCCTACTCATTCTGTATTTTATCTTGGAAGATACTTCAGTTTGAAACAGACCAATTAATTAATTAATTGGTTGATTTATATCAGACCTGTGATTTCATACTTAAAGGAATCCTGGAGGATTCTCCAGAGGAAAGCCCCTCTGCTGGTGTTCATTCATTCTTATATGTTTAAAGTCTTAGGGATTGGCCTGGAACACGAAGTGTTTCCTGACTTGCCCAAAGTCACATAGCCAATATGGAATTTGAACGTAGTCCTTCCTGATTTCGAGACCACTTTTCTATCTACTATACCTTGCTGCCTGTCTTTGATATTGATAAGCTAGAAAATAATATTATCACCAAAGTGTTTGCCTCTGTGTTTTCTTCTTCATTTTATTCAAAGGGATTTATGCTGTGTAAAAATTTGTCATAACTTAGAAGCGTGAGCTCTACGTTTCATAAGTAGAAATAGGAAGAACCAGTGTAGGAATATTTCCTTTAGATATCAGAATAGGTCAAAGGATACGATAGTGGAGAAACAGATAAGGAATTTACTTAGGCTGGTTGAAGATGTTGCTAAAAAAGAAACACAAACATAAAAATCAGTGTGGCTCATTTGACATAAGGAGAACACAGTTCACACAAACATTCTATCCAGAGAAAAGCATCAGAACACTCCACTGTACCAGGTACCATGGAGGTACCACACCCTCCATGTAAGCTTCAGTGAAATGTGGATGATGGAGGTGGGAGAGAAGGAGATGTTTAGAAAAGTGATTTAGAGTTACCATGTCTTCCTCCCCTTCTTTGGAACACTCCTACCAAAAATTATGGAAAAAAATACAACCTCTAACAATACCAAGAAAAATGAAAATAATCCTTAAAAAAATCAAAGGCACTTTAAGAAACAGGAAAGATACTTAGGAGTTAATCAAGAAAAAAGGGCAATGCTGTATAGTGAAAAGAGAAGGAACTTGGAGCTGACAAGACCTGGATTTGAATCTTTGCCTTGCCACTTATTCAATTCAACAAGCGTTTATTGAACACTTTCTGCGTGCCAGACACTGTGCTAGGCACAAAGACCAGTAGCAAACAAACCCCTAAACAAGGCTATTCTTACCCTCAAGGTACTTAAATTCTGCTGGGAATATATAACACATGCTTGGATAAGTAAATACAATATTTATACCAAATAAATATGAGTAATTTTGGGCATAGGAACATTAACAACTAGGTGAATCAGGAAAAGCCTCTTGTAGGAGATGGCACTTGAGCTGAACCCAGCCCTGCTTTGAGACCCAGTCTGACTGAGCCAGCCCTTACAGGCAAAACTTATCCTGATTTTTGAGATTTGAGCCTCATACATAAAGGGACATCCTAGGACTTAGGGTGGAAACAGGTATGACCTTCAGCCCCTGAATTGCGGGAGGGGGAACCCCACAGACACTGTAGTACCAGAAGATACCAGAGTTTTACACACACACACACACACACACACACACCCCTTACCTGGAATGTTAAAGGAGTCTGTAGATTGTGCTATTCAAATAAAAACAGAGAAATCAGGGTGAACTTTCTGTTACAAGAAAATTGCCATTTCTATTGTTACTTTGTCCAAGTGGGAAACCTCAGAAATGGGTGCCTCAGAGAGTACCAAATCCTTTGTGACAGAATCATGGAATTTGAGATTTGGAAGAGACCTCAGAAACTATTTGATCCAACACATAAAAAGTATAACTATAATTATATAATTATGATATAATTTTATTTATATATTTATTATCTAATTATATTTTACTTTATTATATATTTATTTACATATTATAGCTGATAAGACCAGCCTCTGCTTGAAGACCTTCAAGGAGAGGGAACACATTTCCTTGAGTCAGTCCATTCCACGTTTGGACATATCTAATTGTTAAGTCTTTTCCTGACATCAAATCTAAATCTGCCTCTTTGCAACTTCTGCCCAATGCTTCTCCTTCAAATGCTGAAAGACTATGATGTCCCCTCTTAGTCTTCTTGTCTCTTGACTAAACATTAGTTTTCATATGAAATGGCCCCAAGGCCCTTCATCAGGTTGGTTGTCCTTCTCTGGATATTTTCCAGCTTGTGAGTGTCCTTCTTGGTATTTTTTTTTTTTTTAGGCAATTGGGGTTAAGTGACTTGCCCAGGGTCACACAGCTACTAAGCGTCAAGTGTTTGTTCTGAGGCTGGATGTGAACTCAGGTCCTCCTAACTTCAGGGCTGGTGCTCTATCCACTGAGCCACCTAGTTGCCCCCCGTGAGTTTCTTCTTACATTTTAAAGCCCAGAATTGATCACAGGTCTCTGCTCCTGGTGAGCAAGCTTTCTTCCTTGAAGTCCACTTATCTGGCTCTCCATCACTTCTTACCTCCTACTTATACAGTCTAACTCCTTTAATGAAGAGTCTTGTCTAATTATTTAATGATGATATCTTGGCAAGATCCTGACCACCCTCTTGAGCAGGATCATGAACTGGCAAATCTCTCAACTACTTCATAGGGTTACATTTCCAGTGTATGTTCCATAGAAACCAATGTTTCATCTTAGAACTCTTCTCTTCCTGAAGATCCTGACAGTGAACTCAAGCCTCATATTGTCATTTGTTTCTAACATAGCTATTCTGAGCTGGGGTCATGCCCCCGTGGTAGGGCCCAGTTAGCTAATCTCTCAGCTGAGAGATGTATTGATTGTGAGTCCCCACATTTTCTCCATCTTCTGAGACTTCAAAGCACAGGAGGCAAATGTAGCTCTCTCCCAAACATCTAGACCTGTTGTAAATATTGTAGCATTATTCTTTGCATCATTGCTTGCATGCACTAGGAATACCATGTTTGACTCCACTGAACTTTCCCTTCAGGTCACAGGGTTCCTTTCATTTTACATATTGTATGATCAAAATGCTATGGGTCTCCTTGAAGGTGGTAAGGTATGGTTCTAGATTTCTTGAATCCTGACAAAGGCAAAATCAAGGTACATTTCTCTGAAAATCTCTTTCTTTGTCAGAGTAGAACCTGGTGGGGACATATACATGGAAATATTTGTCCTGCAATACCTTAGCAATTATAAAAGCTTTCTAGTTAAATGGTTGGGCATATTTGTGCACATTTGGGTGAAATGGGGCCTGTCATTACTAGAATGTGGCTTCTACTTCTCCTGTGCCCTTCCAGAGACAAAAATTATGTATAAGCAAACTCCAAAGGCTTGCTAGTACTTGTAGTTTCCAAGCATAAAGCATGAATTGGTAGAACTCCTTTAAATGCATTGAATATAAGCCTCACGCTTATAGATATCTGCTGACATTTTGGGCCAATAGAATTTGTTTCTTACTAGTTCAGATGTTTTCTCTTGACCTAAACATCTAAAGCTGTGATGTGGTACTTTCATGGCCAGAGAGCAAAATGCTTTGGGTAGCAAACAATTGCTTCCTGGAACCACACATGGGACCAGTCATAGCATTGTGTAGCACTCTATTGCATAGCTCCTATGTTTGCCTTTGTCTCAGCATTAAGATATCTTCTAGGGAATGAAGCTTGAGTCTCTGATGTCATGCTCTCACTTTTTAGCTTGTTTCACTTTTCATAGTGCTTCATCATGCAATTGTCACCCCCCCCCCAGTCATCTAAGATAACTGAAGCAAAGGGATTGGTTCAATGACACCCTTTTCAGTGGACGTTCAAGATTATCAGCTGCACTTTCAAGTGGCAAAGATCAATCTTCCTGCATGTCACAAGAGGATCACTCCTTTTATGAATATCACCACAGTTTCAGTGACACATAGCCTATGGGACAAGACATCTCAATATGCATTTGTCTTCTCTAAAATGTAGTGCACAGTGAACTCATTGTTGGCTAGCTCCACTATCCATCTCTGACAGCTAGTGTCCAGCTTCATTCTGGTCAAAATATAAGTTAGTGGATAGTTGCCAGTCTACGCTTGAAATTGAGCTTCATAAATACAGTTTCTGAGCTTTTCAGTAAAAGCCTACTTTATAGTCATGAGATGACCAGCCTCATTCAGTAAATTCTCTACCAGAAAATGCAATGGATTGATCATTGGTTGTTATTACTCTCTTGGTACAAGACCACTTCTAAGCCTTCCAGGCTAACACCAAGACGTAGCTTGTGTGGGTCTGCATAGAGCAATACTGCTGTATGCATGAAGTAGTTGATCAAGTCCTTTGAAGCCTGTTCATATTTTTCCATCACAATGATCTCTAAATGGAGTTGAAGGGGTTGGGTCAGCTTGACCTGTCTTGCTCCTGTGCTTTTGAGTCCTCTCAACCATATTATATACCGACTAGCGAGATGGTATAACAGTAATGATGATATAATTCTTTACAAATTTTTAAGGTAGCTACTAATCACTAGAAGAGTCCTTAGTTGGCAAAGACTTTTTTGGACATGGCTAACTGGTGAGTATGTTCCTTTTCCTTTGATCACTGCTCACTATTACCATGACCTCTGGCCTCATAATACTTTGTCTTTCAGGGAAGATGGCTTTTGCCCACTCTTCTATGTTTCAGAAGGCTTTCCCTTAGATTCTGATCTAGGTGATTGTAGGTGACCTCCTATCATTCTCCTGTTGCACATATGTGAGAAGATTCCTTAGAGTCTTGTTGCAGGCCTCTCTCCCTCCCTCTCTCTCTCTCTCTCTTTCTCTCTCTCTCTCTCTCTCTCTCTCTCTCTCTCTCTCTCTCTCTCTCTCTCTCTCTTTCTCTAGGCAATTGGGATTAAGTGACTTGCCCAGGGTTACACAGCTAGTAAGTGTCAAGTGTTTGGTTTGAGTTCGGATTTGAACTCAGGTCCTCCTGACTTTAGGGCCAGTGCCCTGAAGTGCCATTGTGCCACCTAGCTGCCCCTAAAAGGCCTCTCTCTTTTCAATAAGCTTCCCCCCACCCAAATAACTTTATTGCTTCCAGTAGTTCATTACATCTAATGTGTGGTATCACCCTTTCAAGTCCAATCAGGCACCCTTGTGTCTGTGGCTACCTGGCCATATAGTTTACTGCTTCTCTGGGATAACTTGACAGTATCTACTTCTGGCTCTGCTGCTTTCTTTTCTATTAACTCTTCATGCAGGATGTTTGTACATAGCATGAATTAAGGAACTGGACACAAGCTCATTGTGAGATTTCTGTTTTGCCAAACAGCTTCTCTAGACTTTGCAAGCCTTCTAACCATGTCACAATAAGGTGCTCTGATTTCAGGCTACATGCAAGATCATGAAGTTTGAAATTTTCCATTAGCCTCTGTCTTTTCTCTACTTTACTCACCTGCCACTGCTGCTGGTTGTCGTCCTTCATGCTGGAAGAGGACCAAAGTGACATCATTACGTTGAGGTCAAGGTGTCTGACTTCGGCTGATCAGACTAATATGAGTCAGAAGGCTCTACCACAGGTTGGGCACAAATAGTCCATATAAACATTTGATGTGGAGATGTTTCTAAATTTGTGCATCTCATGTTTCTTTTGAGCTACTGCAATTCTGTTTTGCTCTTGGAGCTCAGAGCCTTCTTTGATGTGGGCAGACCATGCTGGATAGCCCTGTGCCAGTATCTACCATGTCTTACAATCAATTCCAAATTTCTTCAGAGAGACCTTGAAAGTGTCCTTATATTGCTTCTTCTGACCTCTGTGGGAGCATTTGCCTTGTGTGAGTTCTCCATAAAGCAGTCTTTTGGGCAAACACATGTTTGGCATTTGAACAATGTGGCCAGCCCATTGGAATTTTGCTCTCTGTGTTAGAGTTGAATACATGGCGGTTCAGCTTGAGAAAGGACCTCAGTGTCTGGTACCTTGTCTTGCAAGGTGATCTTCAGAATCTTTTAAAGACAATTCAAGTGAAAGCAATTCAGTTTCCTAGCATGGCGCTGGTACACTTCCAGGTTTCACAGGCATACAACAATGATTTCTGTACAATGGCTCTCTAGACGTTCAGTTTGGTAGGCAGCCTAATCCCTCTTCTCTCCTATACTTTCCTTCAGAGCCTCCCAAACACTGAGCTAGCTCTGGTAATGCATGCATCAACCTCATCATCTGTACACCCCTGGAAAGTATACTGCCAAGGTAAGTGAACTTATCCCCAGTATTCAAAATTTCTCCATTTGCTGTAACTGATGATTGTGTGTGTAGATGGTGTGGTGCTGGCTGGTGGAGCACTCGTGTTTTCTTGGTGTTAATCATTAGGCCAAAATTAGCACAAGCAGCAGAGCATCAATCCATGCTTTATTGCATCTCAGCCACAGAGGCTACACTGAGTGCACAATCACCTACAAATAAAAAGTTGTGCAACCAACTCTCCTTCCAATTTAGTCTTGGCTTGTAGCCTTTTCAAGTTAAATAATTTGCCTTTAGTGATGTAGCTGACTTTGATGCTGTTTTCATCCTTGTGTTTTTTTTTTTGCCTTTTTTTTTTTTTGGTGAGGCAATCAGGGTTAAGTGACTTGCCCAGGGTCACACAGCTAGTAAATGTCAAGTGTCTGAGGCCAGATTTGAACTCAAGTCCTCCTGACTCCAGGGCTGGTGTCCTATCCATGTTTTCATCCTTGTTAAAGGCATCTGACAGCATCACTGGAAACATTGTGCTAAAAGACCCAGGAACAAGCATGCAGCCTTACTTCACTCCATTGGTAAATGGCAAAGTGCGAGAGCATCCTCCATTATCCAGAACCCATGTGAGTATGACATCATGAAACTGGCATACAATACAGCCACTGTGATACTGTTTAATGTCAGGTCCTATCCAGAACTCAAATGGTTCCGTTCCACATGGCCTCAGCATCTCTCTTGAGAAAGTGTGTAACTTACAAAGTGGCATTTTCACATTGGCTTATATCCAGTGTGTTCTCTATCTCCAGGTGCTGATTTTCTCTTATACATGGGTCTCACAGCATCCTCAAAGAATTCTTCACTCTATAGCAGTGTCTTGAGCTTTTTTTGTTTCTTCTTGAATATATATCTCTCTTTCTCTCTCTGTTTTGGTGTGATGATCTAGTGTTGAATTTACAGATTGTTTTTACAGATTTTTTTCAAACATTTATTTCTCCATATGCTACTGATTCAACTAACTTATATATTACAGAGTGCCCTGTTTGCCTACTTGTGATGTTGAATAAATATTCTGATCCTCTATTCAAGGAGTCATGAAGGACATCCTTAATGTCTTTTCCCTTAGTACTTGGATGCACTTCTAATATCAAAAATTCTTCATTGATACTTTATTCTAAAGTCTTTTAGCAGTGCTCCAAAATCTGCTTATTTTACCTAAAATCATGGCTTCAACACAAAATCGAGCAACATAATAAGCGAGACGGCGCAGTAATAGAATGAAATTAGAGGCAAGATTAAATCCAGCAGTTATATTCAGAATGAGATTCCCAGTAGGAACAATAAACAAAGAAAAATTCTTGCAAAGAAAATTCTAGGTAAATACATAGGCTGCTCTAAACTTATTTAAAAGCCCATGTTCCAATAACAAACAAACTAATAAACAAACTCATATAAAGTCCAATCAGGCGAGCAGCTAGGGGATTCTATGACCACTGGCTGACCTTGGACCTCAGCAAGGAGCAGGTGCTATCAAATGCTTATTCCACCTATAATGCACACCACCTAACAACAGAGGGTAGTCTGGGGTAACTTTACACTCTGGCTTCCAGATAACTGCTTTCTCATCTTCCCTTAGTTCTGTCCCTTTGTAATTGTGTGGTTTATTATGTGTGGATTACCCAATCAAATCTCATGGTCTTAATCGTCATCCTACTGGCTTCTTCCTTTCATTATGTCACTGGCTGTGTGCTTCATTGATTCAGTTACAAAATATGCCATAAAAATATTCACCAGAATATCAGAAATAAATAAAGTCAATGATATCAATGAGTCAATCCACTGCAAACAAGATCCCCAAGCCACGAGATCTTCCTTCAATCAGACAGCAGCCCTCTGCAATAAGCAGGCCCTTCCTTAAACTCCCTCAGTTCTCTCCACCCCACCCTTCCCTGCTGTTCCCTTTGGGAGTGTTCTTTTCCTGGCCTCTCCTTCTGATCATGACAAAAACTCCGATGTTCCAAATTGTTGAGAGTGATTGAGGAACTCACGGGGCTTTCTGTTGCTCCCTCAAGGTGGCCCAGGCACCTTGATTGCAGACAGACTATGTCTGTCATTCAAGCTGCCCTTGACTTTGGACCTTGATCCAAGGCAATATTCAGGATCATTCCTGCATTATGAGGAGATATCTGTTCCTTTCATACCAACAGGTGTTAGGGAGAGGAAATTTCCTTTATGGGGCACAAATAGCCTGGGCCCCACAGTCTTGCCCAGGCCCTTGGGGGAGAAAAAAAATACCCAGGCTGCCCTAGTGGACCATGCCCTCAATCCTTCAAGCCCTTTTAAATCTGCTTTGGCGTTTCTGTCATGGCCCAGCTAGAAGTTTTGTTGGGAGAGGCAGGGGCATAATACTAGCACAACTCTGATTTTTATACTTTCTTGATGCCATTTCCCCCCCCTCCATTCCTTTCTATTTTTATTTCCATTCCTTTCTCCGTTGTTTTCTGAGAGTCATCAACTTTTTGTTGAAAAGCTACAATAACCATTTGCAGCCAGCAGATGTCGCCTTGGCACCGTTAGATAGTCTGGGAATTTTTTTGTCTCTGTAAATACTATCGATATCTGAAAGTGGGGGTGGGGGGGGAAGGTGGGCTCGTGTGCACATGTGCATGCATGCAATGATCAGTGACAACTGGTGAAGCCTTTAGAGCTCTTCTCAGAGTGATGTTTTCAAATATAAAAAAATAGAATTATAAAGAAAACTATATTCAAATACATTTATCAAAGTATGTATTTTAAAAACATTTCCTGGGCCCGAGATTAAGAACTACTCCTTTAGGGTAAGGCTGTTGAAGAAGATGGGTCCCATTCTAGCCTGGGAAGGGGAATGTGTATTAGGAACAATGTGGGGCATAATTCCAATCTGAATGAAATCAACTACAGTAGCTGTTACAGATGAAAATGGGACCTGGTCTTGGAAGGCAGGAAATCCCACAAATGATTTAGATTGGGGCGGCTGGGCAGTAGAGAAGCAAGAGGCTGAGGCTAAAATCCTTTTACCCAGAAATGAACATGGCCAGTGTCAGCAAAGCATGCCATGTTCTCTGGGGCATTGTTTCCCAGACTAAATGAAATTATGGTAAAAAAAAAATTTTTTTAAAAATTTATTTACTTCAGACCATGCTACACCCAGCAGCTTCAGCTCTGTGATCTGTAGACCAGCAAGGCCTGGTGGGGAGGGACCTAATGCAACTGAAGGAGGGAGGAGCTCAATGCAAGAAGAATCAGTTTTCAAACTCATAGCTCTTCAAATTGGCTTTGGTAGTCAGTCTTGTTTGGAATAGGTAGTTGGGAGACACTAGATGCCTAGAGGTAATAAAGATAGTAAAACACTTACCGATGGATTCCTCACATTGAGCTAAACAAACAAATAAACACAAAGATACACATTAAGTGAGTTGTAAGAGACAAGATGAATGCAGTTATTTCTAGGAGTGATGGAGGGGACCCTTTGGAGAAACATGTAAACTGTAGTACGTTGAGAAATGGAATGTGTGCTTTTTTTGGGGGGGGGAGTGCTTGGTCCCCACCTCTCTCCCTCCCCCAAGATAACATAAGTAATAAATGATATAGGTTGATGAAGTGCAAAGTATTGCTGTTACTTCTATATTAAATGTAAAGATTTCCCTCTGGTAGATTAAAGGATCACTGGCTATTGGCCAGATGTTAATTGGCCATGCTCCTAACTCTATCTGCTAGTGCCCTATTCCCCAAAATTTTACATTGCATTTATTTTGCATCCACTTATTTATGTACATGGTTCTCCCTTGATAGAACAGACAGGGGAGGAGAGGGAGAGAATAAAAATCTGTAGTGCCTACTACTGTGCCAGGTGCTTTATAAATATTAACCCTATAACAACCCTGCAAGGTATGTACAGTTATTATCCCCATTTTTATAGTTGAGGATACTGAGGCAAGCACAGGTTGAATGACTTGCCTAGGGTCAAAAAGAGTCCAAGGCTGGATTTGAACTCAGGTTTTCCTGACTACAAACCTAGTGCTCTATCTACTGGGCCATCTAGCTGCTAGGTCAGGAGCTACTTCAATTTTGTTTTTGTATCTTTACTGCTCTCATAGTTCCTGGCACTTAGTAGACACTTATAAAGAAAGGTTAATTGTAAGTCCAAGATTCCTTCTAGGGATGTGTAGAAATTTGGCTTTTCTGTAGAGGAATACATAAGCCTTTCCTATGAACTGATAGATGTACTGATGAATATTTTTTTTAAGGCAATTGGGGTTAAGTGACTTGCCCAGGGTCACACAGCTTGTAAGTGTCAAGTGTTTGGTTTGAGGCCAGATTTGAACTCAGGTCCTCCCGACTTCAGGGCCAGTGCTCTATCCACTGCACCACCTAGCTGCTCCTGATGAATATTTTAATAGACCCACACTAATCTAGCAAAACATGTTGCAAAGGAAACAATATTTTATTTTGTCCTCTGGTGCACAAATGCTTCATTAGTCACCTATCAGTTCCAAGTCTGTTTACCTTTCTGATCCTGGCACTTCAAAAGACACTCCTCTGAAAAAGAGAGATGAGATTCCATTATTTTAATTTACTCAACATAACATGTAGAAATGAAGTCTACATTTGTCTATACTAGTGAGCTTTATTTAAGACATACAAAAAGGAAAAGAACTCATTCATGTAGTCCTTTATGTTTACAAAACCTTTTACACATGCTATCTCATTTAAATTTTCCTACAACTCTGTGAGGTAGGAGTTCAGGTGTGATTGTCTCTATTTTACTCATGGAAAAATTGTCTTGAAAGAATTTTTTATTCAGTCTTTTATTCGACTTCATCTTCTCATTGGAGCTTGCTCATCTCTCAGCTCCTGAAATACTATATTACTCTGATTCTCTTCCTACTTTTCCAACCAATGTTCTCCTCTGTTGTTTTTGCCCCCAGATTATAGGGTGTTCCTCAAAACTTGACCTTAGTTCTGTAGTCTTTGCCTTAGAAAACTTATCTATTCTCTTGGCTTTGACTCTGACTCACAAATATTCCATTCTTTTTTTTGGTGAGGCAATTGGGGTTAAGTGACTTGCCCAGGGTCACACAGCTAGAAAGTGTTATGTGTCTGAGACCAAATTTGAACTCAGGTCCTCCTGACTCCAAGACCAGAGCTCTATCCACTGCACCACCTAGTTGCCCCTTTCATTCTTTTTTTTTTTTTATAATTCAATAAGCATCTTTTCCATTAGTACTTATTTTTTATTAATTTATTTTGATTTATCAATAATCACTTCCATAAGCTTTTGAGTTTTAAATTTTTCTCTCCCTCCCTCCCCACTTCCCTCCCCAAGATGGTGTGCCTGATATAGGCTCTACATATACATTCCTATTAAAAATATTTTCACATTAGTCATGTTGTAAGGAAGAATTAGAACCAATAGGAGGAACCACCAGAAAGAGGAAACAAAATGCAGCAGAAGAAAAAAAATGGCAAATAGTATGCTTCGATCTGCATTCAAACTCCGTAGTTCTTTCTCTGGATGTGGATAGCATTTTCTATTATGAGAGCTTTGGGGATGTCTTAGATCCTTGCATTGCTGAGAAGAGCTAAGTCTATCAAAATTAGTCATTGCACAATGTGGCTGTTACTGTGTACAGTGTTCTGGTTCTGATCACTTCACTCGGTATCAGTCCATACAAGTCTTTCCAGGTTTTGCTGAAGTCTACCTGCTCATCATTTCCTATAGCACAATAGTATTCCATTACATTCATATACCACCACTTGTTCAGCCATTCCCCAATTGATGGGCATCCCATCAATTTCCAATTCTTGGCCAGCACAAAAAGAGCAGCTATAAATATTTTTGTACATGTGGGTCCTTTTCCCATTTGTGTGATCTATTTGGGGTACAGCCCTAGAAGTGCTATTGCTGGGTCAAAGGGTACACACATTTTTATAGCCCTTCAGTCGTAGTTCCAAATTGCTGTCTAGAATGGTTAGATCACTTCACAACTCCATCAACAATGCATCAGTGTTCCAATTTTCCCACATCTTCTCCAACATTTACCATTTACCTGTTTTGTCATGTAGGCCAATCTGATAGGTGTAATATGGTACCTCAGAGTTGTTTTGATTTGCATCTCTGTAATCAATAGTGATTTAGAGCATTTTTTCATGTGACTATAGATGGCTTTAATTTCTTCACCTGAGAACTGCCTCTTCATATCCTTTGACCATTTATCAATTAGGGAAAAATATTCCATTCTTGACCTCTCCTACAACAGGATATTTATACCTCAAACTCAACCTGACTAAAAGTGAATTTATATTTCCTTCAAATCAGTTTCACCTCCTAGCTCCCCACTTCTGTGTTACCATTCTTTTCATAGGCATGGGATTTTTTGACTCCTATCTCACTATTATTCATCCCATTCTTTCAGTCACTGGGACATCTCCTATTTTCCTTTTTCCCTATTATTACCCTGGCTTAAGTCTTATTATCCTATAACTTGGATTTTTGTAGTTATCTCCTGATTGGACTCTGTTCTCTCTCTTGCTACTTCAACCCCTCCTTTGCACCACTGCCATATCATTCCCCAACTCCTCATTTCATCATGTAATTTTTGTACTCCAAAAATGGAATGTGTTGCTTGCCTCAGTAACTAGTGAGATCTTCTGGCTGACACTGAATGATGAACTGCTATGAGATGCACTGCTGTAATGCATGTTGTGGGAAGCAACATTCACTGAGCATCAGATATACCCTCAACATTGAACTAGGCAGGGTGGATGGAGGGGTACAAAAGGAGAGAGATGGTCCCTGTTCGGGGACACAAACAATTCATGGATGTGAAAAGGTATTTGAGCATTTATGAAGCAATGTCCAGGTGTATGCAGAAATAAAGAAACATGATATCTAGGTCATACCACTTATTCACTGTGTGACTTGGTGCTAGGGAAGAAAGCACTGTTGTCATGATTAGTGCTATCTGTGTAGGAGCAACACTGGACAGGGAAATTCTAAGGAACTGAGTCACCCTGACATATTTGATAAAATGTAGGATCCAAGAGTCAGGTCATAAAGGCAGTAAAATATAAGGTTTCAGACTTCAAGTGGTAATGTTTATACCTTAGAAAGGATATTCCTTTTTCAGATTTTGAGTTAATTCATTTGAACCTTATAAATTGCACCCTCGCAACCTATAAAGGAAGTATTTACCCATTTTTTAAAAAAATAGATTTTTCTGATTATCTTATGTTTTGATATTGCCTACATTTCACCCTGTATCCTTCTCCCCTCTTTCCAGAGAGTCATCCTTTATAAGAAAGAAGAAACAAGAGATTTTTATTTTTAGAAAAAGCAAGAAATTCAGAAAAAAAGCTCGTAGGAAATGTTTCATATCCATGGACTTGGGCCCACCTCTGCAAAGAATGTGGGGTTGAGCCACTTCTAATGATAACCTGTTTGGTGCCAGGTTTGCTCTTTAGAATTTCAAATCATCCAGTTTCAATTGTTTGGGGTTGTTCTTCCCATTTACCTTGTAGGAAATGCACGTTGTTTTCCTGGCTCTGCTCACTTCATTTTATATCAGTATATATAAATCTTTCCATGTGTAATAAAGTAGATGAATAGAGGCCCAGTCCCTGGAACATACTCAATCTACTCTGTCTAGTGGCAACCCATATGGGGAAGGGAATAAGATTTATATTGTACCCAACGTATGGAAGCACTGTGCTAAGTGCTTTTTACAAATATAATCTCATTTCATCCTCACAACAATCCTGTAAAGTAGACAGTGTTATTAAGCCCATTTCACAGTTGAGGAAACTGAGGAAAACAGGCAGGTGCTTATTGGACAGTTTGCTTCTGAGCATGCATGGCCTTCCACTTTGGAAGACATGCAAGTATGCCCTAGTTTCTGTCCTTTTCCTCTGTGGTGAAGAAAAACCTTTTAAGTGGCTGTTAAAAAGCCACATTCATTCAAATGGCATGAGCAATTTAAATATTCCCTTTTTCCTTCCTGTTGGCCATGAAGTTAAGGATGACTCTGAGCTCCAGATGGGTGATAGGGATGAGGTCGCTATTCTCCTGCCCATGGATTCATGGCTTCCTAGGAAAACTTGTATCTAGGATGGAGCCTCTTTCTGTTTTGTGTCTTCTTTCCTTTGGAACAAGGCCATGTGAGATTTTGAGAGGTTGGAAACCATCAGCTTAGAGCAGCTCAGTCTAGGAAGTCCAGCAGCTAAGCCCAGCAAAGAGCCAGCTCTCAGGAGTTAACTACTTAACCCATCCCAGTAGTGAATCTGCTCAGTAGCTAAGACACTGTGCCCTGAAAGCAGGGGAGTGACAACTCTGTTGTAGGTTGGAGCCCATTCTCCCCAGGGACCAAAAAGGTAGAATGGATAGTGTGACTGAATCTGGGGGGAATACTATATCTTTCAGGCAGTATCTATTTATAAAAGTTAACTGGTTAATTGACATGGAGCAGAGATCAGCTGGTTAAATTGATAGTGAGACACTAATCAATCACTAGTTAGACAGCTAGATGGCACAGTGGATAGAGTGCCAGGGCTGGAATCAGGAGGACCTGAATTCAAATGTGGCCTCAGACACTTATAACTGTGTGACCCTGGGCAAGTCACTTAACTGTTTGCCTCAGTTTCCTTATCTATAAAAATGAAGTGGAGAAGGAAGTGGCAAACTGCTCCAGTATCTTTGCAAGAAAACCCCAAATGGGATCACTAAGCATCAGACACAACTGAAATGACTGAACAATCACTAGTATCAGTGATGTTGAGATTTTTAACTGGCGCTGGACAATTGATAGTGAGGGGAATACATATTGAATTAGGGCTTGAGCTAATAGCATTAGGAGAATTGCACCGTCCTTCAGGGGTACCCCAGAACCTTGAGGAAGGATGTAGGTAACTGTACACAGGGTAACCAACGTACTAGGAATGTATGAGTTTAAATAATAAGTTGAGTCTAGCTACACATACAATTCTATATTCATCATATTCTGAATTTCTTACAACAGAATCATATTCCATTAGAGTCAGATATCACAATTTGTTTAGCCATTCCCTGCCCTTCCTGCCACAAAAAAGTGCTGCTATAAATGTTTTGGTTTATATAGAGAGCCCTTCTTTTTTCTTTTGTCATTGATTTCTTTGGGTCATGTGCCTAGCAGTAGAATCTTTGTGTTAAAGAGTATGAACATATTGAAATTTTATTTGAATAATTCCAAATTGCTTTCCAAAAAGGTTGGGTAAGGTCACAGCTCCACCAAAAATGGCTGTGTCTGTCTCTCCCCGACCACCCTTCACCTCCAATGTTGACTATTACTATCTTTCACCATCATTTTTGATTTTATGAGTATGAAATGATTGAGTTGTTTTGATTTGCCTCATTATTAGTAATTTGGAACATTCTTTCATATGGTTGTTAATAATTTGTAATTCTCTTGAGAACTCTTCTTATTATTTGACCATTTCTCAATTGTGAAATGGATTTTGGTCATAGGTTTTGGTTAGTTGCCTCTATATCATAGATATCAAACTGTTATTAGAGATATTTGATACAAGAAGGTTTTTCCCCAGTCCATTACTTCCCTTCTATATACATTAATTTTGTTTGTGCAAAACTTTTCAGTTTGATATATTCAAAATTATCTTTTAAAAATCTTTTGTAATTGCATCTGTCATTTGATTGGTTAAGAATTTATCTCCTACATGTACATGTGAAAGGTTTATATGCTTCTTTTATATTTTTAAAATATATTTATCTTTAATATTTAGGTTACATATCCATTTTTAATTTATTGTGGAATTTAGTGCAAGAGGTTTGTCTAAGTCTAATTTCTGGTATTTTTCAGTTTTCCCAGCAGTTCTTATCAAATATAAGGTTTATTAAATAAGAGTTAATTAAACATTAGGTTACGGTGTTCAATTACATCTCTGCAACCTGGACTTCTCTGGGTATGCCTAATTCTAACACGGAGATGCCCTTGAGGGATCTTTTGAGCATGCCCCATTTGCCTAACAAGCTGCCCAGTGAATTCCTTACTGTGTGAATGAGGTAGCCATATATATATATGAATATATGTATATTTTTTTGGCTGCCTGTATCATTAAAACTGGTGAGGCTCAACCATTTACCTTTTCATTTATTCATTCATTCATTCATTCATTTATTCATTTATTTATCTATTAATTAATTAATTAATTAATTAATTTATTCATTCATCTATTTTTTCTGCATTCTTTTCTTATTGCCCTTTTCACAGCTGCATTCTTTTTTGTGTGTGACTCCTATATGCTGGCTGGTCTGGACTTGCTCAATTCAGGTAATATGGAAGCATGCATCTCCTATCACACGGATGAATTGGTATTTTCACCTTCTGCCAAAAAAGAGAGTGAATGAAAGAAAAATGTAGCAGAAAAAAAAGGTCAGCTGGATCAGTCTCACCAGTTTTAAAGTTGCAGGCAGCCAATCAAAGGAGGCCACTTCTTCCTACATAGTAGAGGATGCAGTGGGCTCTAAATTAAGCAACTTAGACATGTTCTAAGGGCCCCTCTTGGGTGCCTCCATGTTACCTGAACTGGGTATGCCTAGACCAATCTAGTTTGCAACTGAAATTCTTCCACCTTTAGTCTGTTTCACTGATGTACTTTCTGTTTTTTAAACAGTACCAGTACCAGTAAATGATTTTTGATGATTACTGCCTTATAATTACTTTGAGGTCTTGAAGTGTTCTTCCCTTATTCCTACATTATTCAATAATTCCCTTTATATCCTGTATCCCTTGTTTCTCCAAATGAAGTCTGTTATTATTTTATCTATCTCTGTCAAGTATCACTTTGGCAATTTCAAGGAGCCATATTGCAATAAATATAGCACTAAGTATAGCACTAAATTTGTAAATTAACTTTGGTAGCCTTGTCATTTTTATTACATTGATACGGTCCAATCACAAGCACTGAATGTTCGTCTAGCTATTTAAGTTGCTCTTAATTTCCTCAAAGAATATTTTGTAATTGAATCTATAGAGGCTTTGAATGTGCTTTGGTTGATTCACTAACCTATTTTGTGCATTTTGTAATTATTCTGAATGAGACTTCCCTTTCTGTTATTACCTCATTGATTTTGTTATTAGACATGTGCCCCTTTTTTTTTTCTGGGTTTATTTTGTGGCCTGTTACTTTACTGAAGCTATTATCTAAATTTCTTTGTTGCTTCTCTAGAATTTTTAAGTAAGCTTTCATGTCACTAGAAAATAGGGATAATTTATCTTCCCTTTGGCTATTTTTATGCCTTTAATCTCGTTTTATGGTATTGCTAACATTTCTAGGACTATATTAAATACTGTCAGGGAGAATGGGCATCCTTCTTTTACCCTTGTATTTATTGGGAAAGCTTCTAACATATTCTCATTGCATATATTTGCTTTTAGTTTTATATAGATACATTTTATGATATTAAAAAAGTTCTCTCTTTGCCTATACTTTGTTGTAAGTTTTTTTTTTTAGCATAAATGAAGATTGTACTTTGTCAAAAGCTTTTTCTGTACTTACTGAGATAACCATGTAGCTTTTGATGTTTTTGTTTTTAACACAATTAATTATGTTGATTGTTTCCCTAAAGTTGAACTATCCTTGAATTCATGATAAAAATCCAACTTGGTCATAATGAATGGTTTTTTTTGGATAAATTCTATTCTGTTTATCAGGATTATATTTAAGACTTTTGAATCAATATTAGTTAATTATATTGCTCTATGTCAAAGAAAACTTTCTTTGCTTTATCTGTCCCTATTCTTGGTATTAAGAATATATTTGCCATGTAAAAGGAATTTAATAGGTTACTTTTTTTCTGAATTTAAATTTTTTTTTCTGTAATATAGATATTAGTTTTTTTTTTTAAAGTTTGGTAGAATTTTCCCACAAATTCATCAAGACCAATACTTTCCTCCTCTGTGATAGAGCCTTTATGGCTAGAAATTTTCTGGGATTAGATTATCGGTGTTCCATTATCTTATTCTAAAAGTAATCCTTTATTTCATTTTTCTTAGTTTAGTTGACATATGTAAGTTCTAATAGTCATGTTTCTTATTTTTTGTGTTTTCCCTTTGTTTACTTCTTATTTTATTGATTTGATTTTCTTCACCTCTTTTAAATCAAATTAGCTAAAGGTTTATCAATCTTGTTAGGTTTTTTTCAAAGAACCAATTTTTAGTTTTATTTGTAAATTCTGTACTCTCTTTCATTTCCAATTTATATATTTCTTTTTTTCTTCCTTCCTTCCTTCCTTCCTTCCTTCCTTGCGAGGCAGTTGGGGTTAAGTGACTTGCCCAGGGTCACACAGCTAATGAGTATCACGTGTCTGAGACTGGATTTGAACTCAGGTCCTCCTGACTCCAGGGCTGGTGCTCTATCCACTGCACCACCCAGCTTCTCCAATTTATATATTTCTCCTATAATGTTCAAGATTTCCTTTCTTGCTTCCCCCCCCAGTTACTTGTGTTTTCCAGATTAAAAAAGATATTTAATGCATTAATCCTCTTTTTTCTATCTTGTTAATATGTTCTTTTCTGGATATACTTTTTCCTCTTAGGATAGCTTTATAGCAGCATCCTGGACATTTTGGTATATTGTCTTATTGTTTTGCTTTAAAAATGTTTTTATTCTGAACTTTACAAAAGACAAAAAAAAACCACCTGCATAAATGTCGTAGAACAGAAAAAGTAGATTATACAGGAAACTACAGATCTCTATCATATGCAGCTTACTTTTCTTTTCAGGTATATAGTGAGTACAATCTGTAGCTTTCAAAGATGTCCTGTTTGTCTTGCTGCTTTCTGGCCTTCCTTCTATTCTTTACCTTGAATTTTAAATAAATGTTTCCACAATCCTCTTTTCTTCCTTTCTTTTTTCCCTCTCCCTTATCCCTATCCACCATTCCCCTTCCATACTCTTACTCCCATTGGAAAATAAAAAAGAAAAACAAGCCCTTTGTATTAAATATGCATAGTTAATCAAAACAAATTGCCATATTATCTGTGTCCAAAAATGTATGTATTCTGCATTTTGAATTCACCACTTCTCTGCCAAAAAGTAGGTAGCATATTCATAATCTGTATTCTAGAATCAAAATTGATTATTGTATTTATCAGAGTTTTCAAGTCTTCCAAAGATGTTTTCCTTTATAATGTTGTCAGCCAGTCAGTCATCAAGCATTTATCAAATGCTTACTATGTGCCAGGTACTATAATAAGCATTGAAACTACAAAGAAAAGCAAAAATATGGTCCCTTCAAGCAGCTTCAGTTCTTATGGATGAGACAACATATAAACAACTATGTACATTCAAGGCATATACAGTGTTAAATGGGGGGTAATCTCAGAGGGAAGGTCTTAGCAATTGTTGGGGTGGGGGAGGGAAGTGGATGACTAGAAAATGCCTCTTTTAGAAGATGAGATTTGATCTGAGTCTTGAAGAATGCCAGGGAATCAAGGAGTCAGAAGTGAAGTGGGAGTGCAGTAATATTTTTGTATAAATTATTCTCTTGGTTCCGTTCAGTTCACTCTGCATCAGAGTTCATAGAGCATATACTTGGTTTCCCTGAAACTGTCCATTTTATCATTTCTTATGGTACATTAATTTTCTTTCATATTCATATGAAATTTATTTTTTGGGTTTCCCTCTTTTAGGTTAATTCTTTCCTCCCTAATATTCATTATCATTAATCTACTTTGATACACCCCTATTCCCACAGGTTCCCCTCCTCTACTTGCTCCTTCCCTTCTGTTTTTCATCCTTTTCAATAGTTCTGGAGTTTCATTTCATTTATTGATTTCTTTTTCTTTCCTGGTTCCTTGGATGATTCCTGCAAGTATTAGGTGGGGAATGTAGGACAGAAGAAGCTATCTGGAAGAGAATTTTGAGTTAAGTTTTGAAGAAGGAAATATGAAAGTTAAAGGTTATCCCAAACTTTGAAATAGGTAACCGGGTATAAAAGATAAATTGGGAAGGGATGGTATTTTCTAAGGGAAGGAAGTGGGAAGAGTATGTTTAGTTTCCATTATGACAGAGTTCATATATTGGCAAGAGATTCCAGTGGATATATCTTGTGTACATATTGTAGGGATAGTGCTAAACAGTAAATAACGGCCCACCTGACCCATCACTTTCTCTTGGATATAGATACTTACGTTGTTCTGCACTGCAAGGTCCAAACGCTAGGGAAAAAACAAGGAAAATGTTTTTGTTGGCCACTTGCTTGTGGTATCTGATGCCTGGAGCCACCCCCATTGTATAGTGTGTTCTTTGCTCCAAGGGTACCTACTTTCCATCCCTTCTTGTCCCCTGCATTTCCTCTCCCACCCCCTAACCCAGAACCTGTTCCTACCAACTCCCTGCATTTCAGTGAGTGAAGAGAAGGACTTAAGAGTTAATGGCAGGGTGGGGATTCAGGTGAGTAGGAGTACATGGGTAAACACCAAATCTTAGTTCAGGAAATTAGTACCAATGCCAATTGGTTTAAGTTGTTTCCATGGTCCTTTCTTTATAGAATTATACAAACATAGAATGTCAGAACTAGAAGGAACTGTAGAGACCAATCCTCTCATTTGCTGGAGGTGAAAACGAAGGTCCAGAGAGGGGCTCAAAACCACAAGATTAGTATGTAGTGGATCCAAGAATAAAACTAAGGTCTTCTGACTATCAGCATTGTGTTTTTTACCCAATACCATGCTGGTTAATGCTTCTCATTAGTCTATCTGTCTCCTAGACTCTTCCCTCACCTTTTAAAATTCCTGCAATTGCCCCTCTCTACACAACCCTGAGCTGCAGCTTTTAGTTTTCTTTTTGGTCTGGACCTTATTGCTATAGGGAATTCCCTATGAAGAAACTGAGGAAACTTCCTTTGCCAATAAAGATTAGCCAATCATTCTGCCATTTATAGTCTTAGAGGGTTGCCTGGGAGCACTGAGAGGATAAGTGACTTTCTCAGTGTCACTCAGCCAGGACATGTCAGAGATTGGGCTTGAATACAAGTCTTTCTGATTCTGAGACTGGCTTTCTATCCACTGTCATGCTGTTTCTCTCTATATCACTAATATAAAGGTCTTCCTCTTCTTCCTATCTATTCAAAGGATTTCTTTTTGATTTAATTTCTCCTTAATGGTATTATTTGTTGACTGTGTGCTGATTTTTTGTCAGCCTCAATTGGGTAATATTTCCTTCTGGGTTGACATAATTAATCATAGTGAGTTATGAGGTGAAGTGATAACAGAGGAGCGAAAAACCCAGAAGTCTCAGGCCTTTGCACTAGTACTAATGTCCAGGGTATGGAGACTAGTTACCAACTAGATATATATGGTCACAAGGAAAGATACATTGAGAATCTTTGCATCCCTCCCTCCCTTCTTCCCTGCTCAGTTTTTATGAAGATTGTCGTCCTATCACGACTCACATTTTTTCTTGTGTTGTATATATTTCAGGACTAGAACTGCCACTGTGGCGAATGCCAGAATGATGAAGATCAAAGACAGAAGAATTGCTGAAAGAGAAAATCACCTGAATTCACCTGATGACCAGGCCAGGCCATCAGACTTATGTCATTTCTATTGGCTTCCTGCACCCTTCACCAAATAAGGCCTATAGTATGAGAGACATTAAAGAAAATTGTAACACGTAGATGATCCTTGCACTCAAGAGGCTTCAGTCTGTGGAAAAGAAATCCAGTGATCCAAATAATTATAACACTAGCCACTATGTGGTAAGTGTGATGAGGGAGGTACAAACACAGGGGCATGTTATCTGCTGGGGAATCAATGAAGTCTTCATGGGGAAGATAGAATTTGAGTTGAGTCTTGAAGACTGGGTAGGATTCCAATTGTTTGAGACAACAGAGTCAGTATTTTTGGTGGAGGATAAATCATGATCCAACATAGAGAGGCAGAAAAACATGAAAGGAGCAGGACATACAGTACAGTTTGTCTGGAGTTCAGATATGTGTCAAGAGGCAAGTTGGGTGTCATAATGGGTAGCTCATTGGACTTGGAGTCAGGAAGAACTTAGTTTGAATTATGAGTCAGATGGTGATTAAGAAGAAAAGAATGATCAAGAGTGTCAAATATTATAGGGATGGCAAGATGAAAAGAATTGAGGGAAGACCATTGGTGACTTCTAAGTTACAATTTTCTGTAAAATGATAGGGTTAGAAATCAGTTTGTAAGGGTTTAAGTAGTGATTGAATAGTGAGCAAATGGGGATGGTTACTATAGATTATTTTCAAAAGTTTAGAAGTGGCAGTAAAAGGGTAGAGTGAGAGAGAAGGAGACAGAGAGACAGACAGAGACAGAGAGAAAAAGACAAGCAGAGATAGAAACAGAGGGAGGATGGTGGCTTGGCTTAGAAGGGAAGTAAGTAGAATTTAGAGATTTTTTTTTTAAAGAATAAAGGAAGCCTGAGCATATTTGTAGGGAAGAAAGGAATGTGATTGAAGATGTAAGAAACATAGGGGTTATTTGGAAGAGGCAGTAGGAGGGCAGTAAGAACAAAGGCACAAATGAAGAGGTTAGACCTTTAGAGACACTTTTTCCTCTGAGAGTAGTGAAAAGAAAGAAGATTGATAAAATGAGGAGTCTGTGATTTGGAGGATGGGAGATGAGAAATTTTCTGAAGAACAGACTTTCTCCAGCAAAGATTGATACCTGGAGTGGGAAAAAGAGTGGAAAAAGTGGCTGATGAGAGATACTCAGAGTAGGGAATGAATCATGTTGACTGGGGGATGGGATAGAAGAAACAGGTAAAAATGAAAGGAAATTTCATAATAGAAAAGAAAGCAAGGGAAGATGAAGGTTTGAGTTTAGAGAATGAAGGTGAAGGTGGCTTTGAAAAGAAGAGCCAAGAAGTCTAAGAATGTCCAAGAGAAGAAATTTGTCCCTACCTGGAAAATTCCACCCCATCTTCAGTCTTGTGTCTGAGAGATGTCAATGGTCAGTTTCCAGTGTTGCCCCAACCATTATCCTACTCTTTCTGGTTGTATGGTTCTGGGAATGACCTAGGCCTGGGAAAGCAGTAAAATAGAGGAGAGCAGAGGAGAACAGAGGTGTTGCAGGTTGAAAGCAGCTCCCTCTGACCAGGTTGAAACAGAATGTGGGCATGTGACTTCAGAACTTTCTAGAGGCTATGCCACAACAAAGGACTAGAACCCTAAAAGTTGAAGAGCTAAGCAGGAAAGTGCCAAGAAACAAGGCAGGTTTGAGAATTCCCTTTAGTCACAAGAGGACTCTATCCTCCTTTCCTCATCTTCTCTGACTTCCTGCAGCTGAAAGTACTCTCTTCCCCTTCATATTTTCCTGGAGCCCTTTGTATGAATCATTCCTTTTACCCAGATTATTTTCTAACTTGTATTACACTTATTTATTTTAAAGTTTTATCACTCTTCCTCCAAGAGTGCAAGCTTTTGGAGAGTAGGAATCACATCATTAAAAAAAAATTATCCCTATTGCCTTGCACACAGTAGGCACTTGATAAGTGTTTATCAATTTGATTTGAATTGTCAGGATGCTGGAGTTGTTTAAACTAGATCTCTTGGAATATTTCAGATCTTCAAGAATATCTAGAAGAGAGAATCCCTCCAAACATCTGAAAAAAGGGCCCTCAGAGTAAATGAGAGTTAGCTCAAAGAAGAAGATTCAATGGTGCTCTCTAGTAGTAATAAGATTTCAGCCAGTGAGAAAAATTTCCTAAACCTTTGTGCTAAAAAGGGAAATGGAAGAAAGCAATCAGTTAAAGAGCTGTTCTGTCCTTGGGTGTCACTGTGAACAACCAGCTAAATAGATAGGAAATAGGTAACATTTCTAAAAAGGAAAGAAAGAGAAGAAAGATATTTCCTAGAAGGTAAATGTAAAGCTTAACAAAATGCAGTATCAGAGAAGTGCTGATATGTCTCGATTCTGCTTCCTTGTAATGTCAAGTTGATCTCCTTCTCCCATTTCTTCCTGGCACAACTCTAGTTTGGGCTCTCATTACTTGACTACTGTAAGCATAGCCTCCTACTTTGTCCCTGCCTGAAGTCTCTCTCCTGTTTAATCTATGCTACACACTGATAACTTAATAAATTTGCTACTGAATGAATCTGATTATGACATTCCATTGCTCAGAAGAACTTCAGAGGATCCTCATTGACTACCAAATAAAAAACAAACTTACTACCTTAGTGTCCAAGGAGCTCCAAAGTCTGGCTCTATCCAGCATTTCCAACCTTATTTCATAGTACTCATCCAATTCAATTTAACAGTAATTTAAAACAAAACAAAACAAAACAAAAGGCTTCTATAGGCTTGGTTAGGTGTTGAAGCTGCCAACATCATCCACTGCAACCCAGGCCATCGCCAATCATCTTGATTATTGTTCTGCCACTGTATTCTGATGACTCTGGGAGACTAAGACTGATGACTTTCTGCAACTCTGCCTCATTTAAATCCAATTCATGATCAAGTCAACACATCACCATGATGTCATTGGTCCTCTTTGAAAATGAATAGTGAGCAACATTTGTATCCCCAGTGCCTAGCACAGTGCCTGGCATGTAGTAGGCACTTAAATGTTTATTGACTGTTGTCAGGGAGGGTGAAATAAGCAAAGAAGTTCAGGCAAGGAAAGATCACTTATACCTAGGATTGTAAGGGTCAGGGAAGGCTTTATGAAGAGGGTAATCTGAGTTGGGCCTTGTAAAAAGGAAGGGGCTTCAACAAGGATAGGGGCAGAAGAGCACATTTCTGTATTTAGAGGCAGTATCAGCAAAGACACAAAACTATGAGAAGATGGGATGAGAACAGGGGATAGAGAGTAGCCCAGTTTGATTGGAATACAGATAACATGAAGGGGCGTAGTACAAGACTAGATAAATGATCTTGGGCCAGATTCTGGAAGGCCTTGAATACCAGTTTTTGTTGTTGTTCAGTCATGTCCGACTCTTTGCGATCCCATTGACATAGTCCATGGAGTTTGCTTGGCAAAGATACTGGAGTGCCATTTCCTTCTCCAGTGTGTCCCCATTTTACAGATGAGGAACTGAGACAAATAGGGGCTAAATGACTTGCCCAGGGTCACACAGCTAGTAAGTGTCTGAGACTACATCTGAACTCAAATCTTCCTGATTACAGGCCCAGTGCTTTATCCACTGTGCCACCTGAATGCCAGAGTAAGAAGTTAATAGTCTTTTCTGTAAGGGGTGGGGAAAACCTTGAAGTTTTTTGAGCAGAGGAGTGTCATTAGGAAGGTTGTGGAAGATGGACTGGAAAGGGCAGAGCAGCATGCCAATTTAGGAGATAATTATGAAGCTTTAGGCAAAAAATCGAAGGCCAAAGTGACACAGATTTTGTTTTCCACATTGTTGTCCCACTGAAGGTACACCTCTTGCCTGTACAATGTTGGTAAACTCAAATTTTCTCTCTCTTTGGTGACCACGAGAGACACAATATTGTGTAATGGATAGAGAGCTGGTTTTAGATTCAGGAAGATCTTAGTTCAAGTTCTGTCTCTGATACATCCTTGCTGTGTTATTCTGGGCAAGTAAGGCCCTCTCCATCACTCAGGTAACTTTCTAAGATCTGCATTGATGGGGTTACCTATGCCAATAAATTCACAGGTAGAGATGAAGAAGGAAAAAAAAAACATGGTGATCAGGGTCTTCCTATCATAACAACACCCCCAATTACGATACCTTCCTCTCCCCTTACTGAATGTTCTGTTGCCAAGGGTATGACTTTTTTTTTTTTAAATAATATTTCCCGGAACAGCTAGGTGGCACAGTAGGTAGAGCTCTGGCCTTGGAGTCAGCAGAACCTGAGTTCAAATCTGACCTCAGATACATGACATTTACTAGCCGTGTGACCCTGGGTAAGTCACTTAACACTGACTGCCTCATCAAAAAGCCAAAAAAGATATTTCCCCCTCAATTACTTGTTAAAATTTTTTAAACTTTTTTTTAAGTTTTGAGATTTAAATTCTATCGCTCCCTTCTTCCCTGCCTCCTTCTCTGAGAATAAGCAATCCTATAATGGGTTATACATGTGCAATCATGTAAAACATTTCCATATTACTCAGTTTGTACAAGAAGACTCAAACAAAAACAAAAAAGAATGAAAGAAAGTGAAAAACAGCATGCTTCATCTGTATTCATACAATTTCAGTTATTTCTCTAGAGGCAGATAGCGTGTTTCATCATGAGTTCTTTGGGATTATCTTGGATCATTGTATTGCTGAGAAGAGCTGTCTATTATAGTTGATCATCATACAATGTTGCTGTTACTATGTACAATGTTCTCCTGGTTCTGCTCACTTCACTTTGCATCATTTCATGTATGTCTTTCCAGGTTTTTCTGACATCATTCTCCTTGTCATTTCTCATAAGCACAATAATAATATCCCATTGCAATTATAGAGTATAGCTTATTTTAAATTAATTAGATTCTCTTTTGACTTTGACCAGATATATAGAGGCACTTTAATCTCATCATTTATTGTGGGATGTAGAACTGTGGGGGTAGGTTCCTTAAGGGGAGGTTTCTTGCTACTATGTGGAAATCAGACAATCCTTTGTTTTGCTGGAGAGGTGGTCTTTGAATGTTAGACTTGGAGCCCAACCTTGGACATCTATCTTTAGCTCCCCCTGGTGACGTTTATTAGCTGTGCGGCTGTGAGTATATCACTTAACTTTCTCTGAGTCACATCTATAGCTTTCTTCAGACTTATCTGCTGAGTTCTTTTTCACTACACCCAGAAATCATAACCCAAAGTAAGGTGGTCCACAAAAGATCTGTGATTTCATAATGGGGTTACATAGACTACATCGTGTCTCTAGCTACTCACTCCCTGTTTGAAATAAAAAAGAATCAGCAATTAGAGTTACTGGTGGACTTTATTCCTCCCACACCCTATTGATAATAGAGATATATATTTGGGAAGTCGGAGTTCTCTGAGAAGGTAAATGCCCTCAGAATAGTTTACAGCATCTGAAGGGAATAATATACCCCTATAAAATGCTATCTGTTTGTAAAGTCCTTCCTGTCCCATGCTAAGATCTCTTTGGTTGGAATGTAATTCAGTCTGAAGCAATTTTGAAGTACCCTTGATAAAATGGAAAGATATTTCACAATCTCCTTCAATAAAATAGCTGTCTTTGGAAAAATGTTTTCTAGTTACAAACTTTTTTTTTAAGGCAATTGGGGTTAAGTGACTTGCCCAGGGTCACACAGCTAGCAAGTGTCAAGTGTTTGGTCTGAAGCCGGATTTGAACTCAGCTCCTCCTGACTTCAGGGCCGGAACTCTATCCTCTGCGCCACCTAGCTGCCCCTAGTTACAAACTTTTAATAGATGACCTCTTAAGTACTTTCCAGCTCCATAGGTTTATGAGTCTATTGTGACTTTTGGAGTCTTCTCATCCCCTATACCTTATCCTGATAGCAGCCTGCTTTATTTGTATTAGTATTATGTGGAGTGGCAATAGCGACCTTCGGAATGATTTTAGGGTGGAGTGACGAATAGAAGCATGAGTTACTAATATTTTTCAGAAGTTTACTAATCACAGCTATAGATAATTATAGGCAGGAACCCCATGATCTCCCCCTGCTCTTCCCACCCCTCAAAGGTGATACTTCTGATCATTCTGAAACACTCAGTGAAGGCCAGGACCAAGAGGTTCAACTGAGTCTCTGCGGAAGCTGATAGATGACAAATACTGCATGTGATTCTCTTCTCAGATCTGGGATAGGAGTGAGATATGATTCCTCCGAGGGATAGAATCTCCAAATATCTTTCTTTGAGCACAGAAAATCTTGACTGAGATATGCCACAGTTTCAAGTATTTGGCAAATTAACTTCCCTAAAGGTATAATGAAGCTTCTTTCCTTCCTTTTCCTCCTGGTAGGTTGCAGGGTGGATAGAATGTTGAAGTTGGGATCTGGAAGACCTGAGTGGAAATACTGCCTCTCACTCTTATCTGATCCCAGGCAACTCACCTGGGCAACCTTTTCTGGCCTCAGTTTTCTCATCTGTAAAACAAAGATAAAATAGCACCTAGCTCTTGGGATTGTTGTGAAGATCAAATGAAATAACGTAGGTAAAGTTCTTTACAAACCTTAACACACTAAATAAATGCTAGCTATTATTGTTATTGTTGTTACTGTCAGGTGGTGTCAGGTTTAATCTACTGTGTCTCCCGAGGTGGGAGATAGGGAAACAGAACTATCCTTCAGCTCATGTGTAGATGGGGTGAAGAAATGGTCAAGTGTTTCACTGCCTCCTCTAATATGTTTGTAGTAGCTGGAAGGAAGGAACTATGCTAAAGCCCTTTGGGTTTAAATTGTCCAAACTCCGGCTTGGGGCTGTCAACTTCCTTATGATGGAGTCAGTTTCCCTAGTTCTTGTCCTCTGAGTGCAGGCCACATTGCTGGCATTTTCTGCTGAGAAAACTTTGTCTCATGACAACAGTCTATTCCAATTTGGCTGGTATCAGCTCAGGAACACCCCTAGACACCTCTGTGAGTGCTGTTCCCTCTCTCCTCACTTTATATTCTTTTCCAGGTTGGTATCTCATGAAGTACTCTGTGTATAAGTATGAGGATAATGCCATGTAATTTCTTCCAATGAGCAGCAGCATTCTTGCTTCATCATTGTGGGCACTTGAAACTAGACAGGCGCCCTCCTCTATTAATAAAATAATGTGCTATTATTATATGTATAACTGGTTGATAAGGGAGACTTTCAGCTAGAGTACAGGGTCCCCAGATTTGGTAATGCCTCCAATGGCCTCACTGATCAGGTGTCACATGGCTTCTAGCAAGATCTGTGACCAGAGTGAAAGCTCTGGAGGGTCTCACCAAATGAGACAGCTGCAGGTGGAGCCCTTGGGCAGTCTGGGAGTCTGTTGTCTAAAACAGCCAAGCTAAAAGTAAGGAGGCACAGCATCAGAGGGGTGAAGTCTTCAGGCCACAGTGACTCATCACAACTGTCTCCCAAAAGCAAAGGGGGGTTATTTTTGGACTTCCCTAACACAAGAAACCACAGACCTATCTTAAGTTTTGAAGTAAGTTCTTAATCACAAAGT